TTAAAGGGTTTTTCATCAAATGCTCTTAAGTTGAATTTGATGCTCGAACAAACTTTTTTCATCCGAACGCATTGCTTCTACCATTGACTTTAGTTTCGGTGACAAATAGAGTGATAAACATGAAAAAAGAAAAAAAATTAAATTAGGTATTTTTCTTAAATCAAATTGAAGTTAATGAACAAATATGTAAACAAACACGGAAGTTAGATGATCTCAAGCAAAAACCTCTCCAAATCTTCACGTTATTCTAAAATTTGATAATAACTTTGAAATTTTTGTTATGTATTTATAATTGCAAGCAACTCTATAAATTGAATCATTTTCTTTTATTGCTTCTATCTAATTTTTCTTCTACTGCTTACCTCAAACTTATTGCTTAAGTGACCACCAATACAAAATCAAACGTTGAATAAACAAAAAAAATTCTCACCGGCCCAAAGTCTATTCTAATTACCAAAACCTAAAAATAATTTTTTTTAAAAAAAATGACGTACGAATTTCCCGTCCTTACGTCATACATTCCCTGCAAAACCCCTCACGCTTGATCCCCCCCCCCCCCTCCCCCCCTTCACACTCACACTCACTATACTGTGTTGAAACCCTAACTCCATATCAGCATAAACCAAAAACTCCAACAAAATAGGAAAAATAAACCTAGCCATGGAATCATCATCTGTTAAGCTTAATTCCAGAAAGCGAAAAAAGCAATCCCCATCACCGTCCATTCCTTGAATCGGAATCTTCACACACAGCAAATCTCAGGTGAACATCCACAGTTACTGCTCTAGTCGGTACCGTTCACGAAAATATCTTTCGAATTAAAATCACCATAAGTGTATGATACGTTAACAAGTAATAAAGTGGATTTAAGTCAAAGTATCGTCATGGGCGGACCCAAGGGGGGTCCTGGGGTGGCAGGTGCCCCCCAACTTTTGAGATTCATTTTTTTTTTTTTAAATCAGGTTTGTTATCGATTGAAATTTAAATTTTAATCTAAATCAAAGTAAACAATTAATTTTAATAATATATTTTCATGAAATTCATAACTATTTAATTTGTACCCAAATTTACTAAAAATTTGATTTTAATCTCCACCAAACAGGAGTAAAATAAAAATAAAAATAAATTTGAATTTCGAAATATACAAATTTTAAAAATTCTCCGACAATCGTACGTTAATTGAATCTACAAATTATTTGTATCATTTCGAAACTTATTTCAAGAATTACATTATGAACATATCGAATAGTTCAAACATATATCGAAAACAGTTAAAAATACGTTAAACATGAACCTTTAAAAAGATGTCTAACTCGCATTTTTTTAAACAAAAAATCAATTATTTCATTAACATTTATTATTTTTGCGATACAAATTTCTCAATGTAATTTTCATCATTTTATTAGGAAATTTTCAAAAAATTTCGAATTTTACATTCGAAAAAGTCATATCTCATGTAAATTTTTAGATGTAAAATTACATGGAGTATGATTTTTTTGGACTTAAATTTTCGATTGTAAAAATTCTACCAACTTCTTTACAAGTTCGATTGTGCCCCCCAATATTAAAGTCTTGCGTCCGCCCTTGAGTATCGTTTCACTAAGATTGATTTAGTTCAATTTTAATTATCGCTACTTTAATCGAAACACGAATAATATGATGTGTTTGTTTATGAGAAAATTATAACTAAACTAATCTATTTATGCAATTATGAGTAAATTAAATAGATAAATGCAAAATGATGTGTTCTAATAAATGGCAAATGCACTAAGATCCCAAATTTTCATACAATAATCATTTTAAACATTAATTCTATACTTTGACAACACGATTGAATTTTGACGAATCAATGTTCCTATTTTATTTAACAATCTCTCTCGAGTGATGTTAAACATACCCTCATATATGATCCGACTATATTTTTATGATGGATGCGAATATATAAAAATGTATAAATTTTTATGAACACTTAAATATTCACATGGAACATAACGGTATATTTTTATTCCCTATCAGACACTGTGACAATTTACATTATGTCGAGCCTATTTTCCATCTTTCGAATACATAAAATAAATCATCAAATTCATACAATTACCGTGCACAATAATGTAAAGAAAAGATAATCATGTAAATCATTCAAAATCAAAAAAAAAAAAAAAACGTGTTTTCAATATCAAATATGTAAAACTAAAGATTAAAAACTCATATTACAAGGTTGATCGTTCTCTATCACAAATTAATCTTGCCTAACATGTTATGAAGAAAAAAAACAAAAGAAGTATTGAAGAATCGCATCACCCAAATAAATCTTAAATTGAATCTTTGAGGCCTGAAATCGATCTTTTCTTGCTTCCTTCTATACTCCAAAATCTCTTAAAATATGTTGTAATACGTGATAACCACTTCTCTAAGGTCCTAAGTCTTTAAAAGACGTTCTAAGGTTTGTTTTCATAAGAGTTGGAATCATATAAAGAAATCAGAATTTTTCCTTCGAAAATGTAATATGTTATAGCATAGTAAAACTTCATGCTATAGCATAGTTCAATGAAACTCAGTCCTGGGACTCCTTGAAGCTGACCACGAGACCGCATGGTATATTACACAATGCAACCGCATAGTGTAGATGAAAATTCAAAAGTTGTGTTTTAGTCCCCGAACTCCGTTTTCTCATTTCGTGATCTCTTTTCTCGCTTATTCTTCTTTCAACACTTAATTCTTTCGCTCAATTGGTTTTTGACTCCTTCACATTTTCGTTTTTTCTTTCAGGTCATCTTTCACTTATTTGCATTTTGATCCCTGAACTTTAATTTTCTTCAATTTTAATTCTTTTTCGCTTGTTTCTCCTAAATTCTACAAAACATAATTTATATAGAATTAAATTATATTCCAATATATTTGCCAACAATTATCATTTTTGGCCTAAATAATTATCAGGTACAGTACAGATGCTTCTCGAAAATCGAACTTCCACTCTTGTTCAATTAGCTCAAACCCATTTTCCCAACAACTGAACTGCATTCAACCTAGAGTCGTGGAGAAAATCGGGACAAATCCAGTAGAGCCTTTTCTGGAGTTAAATGATGAGATTAGTTCCCGGATATCATCTTTTAAAGATCTTCGAACCCATAGGTTCTCTCTTGCCTTTAATCCGATTCTTGAGAAAGATGAGGGGAAAGTAAACGGGAAATCAAATTTATTAAGAATATGAATCTTGGTAATGTTTTAGATCGGTGTATGGATCTAGACGTGGGTAACAAAAAGGCATAAGAGAATAAATAATTCGGTGAGACAGTGCCATCGGAGGCTGATGCGAAGGAAAATTGATCATTTGAAAACCCGCAAGTGTACATGATCGTGGTCAAGTAATATTATGATGAATAGAATTTTGAACCCACGAGAATTACATGTTTGACCGAGTTAAAATTAATTGCAACTTTAATCGAATAGCAAACAAATTTTGTGATTTTTTCTATACTAATACTTAAATTATCAATTAAACTAATGAAAATAAGTAAAAGCATTTTTCAAATATATGAGATGCATTGATAAGATGTCGAATCCCCCTTGTTATTCCATTTTTAGTGTAACAATTAAAGTGACAATTTGAAATCATTCATATTGGCCAATGTTCCAATTTAATTGAAAGCCTCTCTCGATAGCGATCAAATATATTCCCCTCATGTGACCTATCTCTCGATAAAAGATGCAAACATGATAAATACATTAACAAGTACTAGAACACATATTAAAATCATATAAAGCATAGAGATATATCTATATCCCCTATCGAACCTTACAATATTTATTATATTGTGCTTAAACCCTATTGTCTCTCTCGATAACAATAAAATCTACTAACAATTCAATTGGTGATCAAACAATTGAAAAGAACAATAAAAACGATAATAAACATCCACAAATCAAATCAGATCAAATCAAAGTCAACATAATTAATTAAAAACTAAAAATATCATAATAAGGGTTTATCTCATCCTAGAAACGTATAAAATTAGCCTAACATATCAAAATTATAAGAAATCATATTTAAGTGAAAAGACATAACCCGAATTTTTGATAAATTGAGAATATGAAGATGAAGATGAATATTGAAATCTTGAATCTCTTCGGTGGTTCCTTGATGAATCTCCACTTGCGCCTTCTCTTCTATATTCAAAAATCAAGTTTGAATCTTCACTTGATTGAATTATTGCAAACACTCTTCAATTCTCTCACAAAAATTATGAATTTGCCTCCTTTGATAATAATAATAATTGATAAATATTGGAGTATAATATGAATATGAGATGCCTCCCATATGTATTCTGCTATTAGGAATTTGTACGAGTAGAAAATTGGTTGAAAATCACGTCCAAATTGGTTTCCAAAAAAGTTCCAATCAAATAAGGAAAGTTTCATTCACGTACGAATTTTTTGTTTCTACACAGCAGTTAGTATTTTGACCATAACTTTCTTTCTCAACATCTGATTGAGGCAATTAAAAGTGCGTTAGAAAGCTTGCTCAAAGGGTTACAATTCTTCTATAAATATAATATTTTCAATTCGAAGGTTTATTGTATCAAAAATGGATCTCAATATTTGACTAAAAATCTGGAATATAACTTGTGCGATTGGAAATTGATTTGATAATTTTTTGATCATA